ATAATCAATGGGTCAAAGAAGAAATCATAATGGCAATTAAAAAATACTTTGCAATGAATGAAAATGAAAACACACATACTTAAATTTATTGGATGCAGTTAAAGCACTGCTTAGAACACATTTGTAGCTGCAAATGCATATATTAAAAAAGAATAAAGATATCAAGTCAATAACCTAACTCTCCGCATCAAGAATCTAGAAAAAGAAGAGACCGCTAACCCCAAAAGTTCATCTACTGAATAATGGATAAACAAAAGTTGGTGTAGAGCCATATAATGGAATATTATTTAGCGATAAAAAGGAATAAACTATTAATACATGAGATAAATCATTGAATCTTTAAAGCCTTATATTAAGTGAAAGAGGCTTGCATGACATGTTGAGAACTAAATACATCTATAGAGGCAAAAAGGAGATCAGTGGTTGCTGGGCTGAGAGGAGGAGAAAATGTGGAGTGACTACTGATAAATAAGGGGTTTCTTCTGGGGGTGATGAAAATGTTCTGAAATTAGACTATTGTGATGATGACACAATTCTGTGAATCAACACGACTGAATTGTATACTTGGAAAGGGTGAATAGAGCAGTAGGTGAATTAGATCTCAACACACCTGTTGTTAAAAACAAAAAAAACCCAAAACCAGAATCTGCCCCTACAGGTTCTGATTCAGGTTTGTGGTGGACTCAGATGATTCATGTTCTGTGGGAATCGTACTAGCTCTGCTATTGTGCCTTCAGAGGACTGCTGCCAAAATGCAAACACGGTATCTGGGAAGGGTAAGATAATAAACACCTGCTATTCCATAGACCTGTGTTAAATTATGAGGTTACCATCTGCCCTGTGGGTTCTGAGCCATTGAAATCCAACTGGGAATTTTAGTGGCAAGAAAGTAAAATATGGTTAAGATAAGTGGCTAATGATGGGGAGGTTTGGAAGGGGGTCCTAGGAGAGACACTGTAAGGGAGAGGGATGCTGGGCAGACAGAGGTACCCAGAGCCCACTCTTAGACTAACCCTGCGCCATGTGCCTCTCAAGAATTGGGGAAAATGATAGCTAACATATATTAAGTACTTATTTTGTAGTGGGCAATGTTCTAAATGCTTTTTTGTGTGCTTACTTTGTTTAACTCCTTCCAAAGACCCATGAGATTGATGCAATTTTTATTCCAATACTACAAAAGAGGAAACTGAGGCACCGAGGAGAGTGACTATTAGGTCCCAAATCACATAGCCAACGCGTGCATGGAAGAGCCAGGATTCAGACTTGACAGTTTTGCTCTAGAGCCTTGTAACCACCACTCCATGTTACTGCTTTGCTACCTGGCCATCACCAGCCAAGGCAGAGGGTGGAAGAAGAGGCTGCCAGTTACTTTACCTGTGGCTTCTCGACGCCGGGACCAGGCTGCAGGTACTTCAGAGAGGTTGGGTGACACAATGCGGCGGTGCAAACAAGCATTAAATTGGATTTGGACCATCTTGAGTTTGAGCTCTAGCTCTGCTATCAGTGTCTGGGAGATTAGGGGCATTTGACCTCTGTCGGCCAGAATATCTTAACATATAAAAGAAAAAAATAGTATCTTCTCTGCCTTCTCCGCAGCCTTGTGGTGAGATTCAAATTCAGACAGGTGATCTCAAAAATCTCTGCGCACTTCAAGATTTCCTCTTAAGGTAAGGTTGCGGAATGCCAACAATAACAGATTAAAACCACAGCAGAGACCTAGCTTCTAGGTTATTCCTGGAGGCTCTCAGATTGAGGAGCAATCTGCCTTTTCAGACCAATTCCTAATGTTGAGAGATCTTTATGGTAGTTTGAGGATCGCTGTCTCTCCTACTGGTGCCTGAGGAGTAGCTAAGCCCAATTTCAAACAACTGACATGTAAGAAAATTCTATCTAAAAAATGAGGATTAGATATTTGTGAGAAAATTTGGTCTGGGGTGTACTCAGCCAGCGGCACTTTCACCTCCAGCTCAGGTGGATGGCTCAGCAAATCCTTCAGAAGCCTGGCTGTGGCAACAGCTGTTGCTTAGGGAAACAGACTGAAAAATCTACACACCTTGACAGCTCACTTCAAATTGTTAATATCACTCTTTATTCAGGTGGGCATCCATCTTTTATGTTTGTTCTGTACAGTTTGAGAGGGAAGAGGAGAAACGGTTTGATTTTGATTTCAACTTGCACTGATTAGGGGGTGGTGGAGGACTTTTTCTGAATGCACTATTAGGATGGCTGGCAGATGTCTTCTTGACATTGGTACTGGAATTTAGAGCGTTTGGGAAAGTGTTTTCAATGACTTTTTGGTAGCCGTGGGATTTCATCGCTCCTGAACGTGCTAATTTAACATTTGTTTAGTTTGGGTAGCCTTCTTCTTTTTTTTTTTTAAAGATTTTATTTATTTATTTGAGACAGAAAGAATGAGAGACAGAGAGCATGAGAGGGAGGAGGGTCAGAGGGAGAAGCAGACTCCCTGCAGAGCAGAGAGCCCGACGCGGGACTCGATCCCGGGACTCCAGGATCATGACCTGAGCCGAAGGCAGTCGCTTAACCAACTGAGCCACCCAGGCACCCTTTTTTTTTTTTTTTTAAAGATTTTATTTATTTATTCATAAGAGGCAGAGGGAGAAGCAGGCTCCCAAGGAGCAGGGAGCCCATTGTGGGACTCAATCCCAGGACCCTGGGATCATGACCTGAGCCAAAGGCAGATGCTTAACCGACTGAGCCACCCAGGCGCCCGGTAGCCTTCTTTTGAAACGGTAGCAAAGAAAGCTCGGAGGATCGTTTTGAAGGAGAGTTGTTCTGAAATGTAGTGACAAGCTCATAAACTAAAGGTCATAGCTGTGACCAGTTGATCATTAATTTGTTTTGCTGCCTCTGGGCAGACCAGATCCTGCATATTTGCAGCAGACCTTAACGCTGATGATTTGAACAATGAAAAATGCCTGTGCTTTTATTCCTGCATTCAGAGGTCCTGATGTATAAAGGGAAAAATGCTGAGCTCGAGGCCTGGAACCTGGGGTCTTACCATCTTTCAACTGTAATGGGCCCCTTTACCCATCTCTATCTTTTTCACTGTTAGAATAGAAATCTCTAGATAGATTTCTGGGGCGAGTCGAAGACATTCTTTTTTTCCAGGGATTTTTGGTTTTATATTTTCTGCCTTGGCTGGATTCGTTAATCATCAGGTTGATGTCATTTAAAATAATTTAAAGAAGTATTTAAAGGAGCACCCTATCATTAACTCAGATAATGTAACTAAGAGTTTGGTTCTAATCACAGTATATCCTTATGTTTTTGAATAATGAGCGTGTTAATTGCATTACCGCTTTCTAGTAATCCATTGTATTCAGGATTATCTCTTTAAATTAAGATGATGCTTGGCCCCTGTCCTCGGAATCTTGTATCCCACATGTGATTTGTTACTCCATCCAGCAGCACTCTGGGGAAGAGAATGTTCCCATCTTCTTTTTTTTTTTTTTTAAAGATTTTATTTATTTATTTGACAGAGAGAGACACAGTGAGAGCAGGATCACAAGCAGGGGGAGAGGGAGAGGGAGAAACAGGCTTCCCGCGGAGCAGGGAGCCTGATGCGGGGCTCGATCCCAGGACCCTGGGATCATGACCTGAACCGAAGGCAGACGCTTAACGACTGAGCCACCCAGGCGCCCTTAGAATGTTCCCATCTTCTAAGCTCTGCTGCTTCTCTTCTGCCCACTCCTTACCGGTCTCTCCCAAGGGAGGGCTAATCAACAATTAAACCAGGCAGAGCTGGGAACACGGGTTGGATCCTATTTAATTGGCTGGGCTGGGTGGGTTACTATGGCTCTGGGGTTAGTACTTGCGTGTGACCCTCTCTTTTTTCTGCTCTTTCAGGGAGACCCAACCAGGCTGCTCTCTCTCTTTCTCTTTCTTCTGAATACGGAGCTTAGCATCCAAGAGGATTCCTGTTCCTTTGGTTCCTGGCTCTTCGTGCCACATTAGCCTAGTCCCTGTTGGCATACTCAAGGTTGACTTTTAGAAGAATGTAAGAGCCCGACTCAGGCTCATGTCTGAGTCACATACTCCAACTCAGCTTTCACCAAAAGGCCCTATTTTGACAGTCTGTAATATTGGCTCACTTGTAAATAAATATTTGCTTCCCCAGATGACTAGCCTTCCCTTCGCAGAGTTCCCTGGGACAGAGGGGTGAGTAATAATAGCTCAGAGCTCAGATACTCCTGACTCTGATAGAATATTTTCGGAATAAAATCAAACACTTTTGTAACTGGTAACAGCAAGTGTTCCACACTTCGTTTGTCTGACTGACCTTTGTTTTTGCCTATACTACAATGGAAAGCATCCTGATGTGGCTGTCCTTCATTCTATTCTCTTCCCAGCTCTGCCTCTTATTCCTTCTGTGCCCTGGGCTCTTCATTTCCTCAGTTGTAGAATGAAGGGGTTGAGCTGAATCCTTTCAAGCTCATCTCCAATCTTTAACACTCTATGCTACTGAAAATGTCCCTTTTGTGAGTTCAGAGCCCACTTGGGACATTTATTTTTAATCTTTCTTCTGAGTTTCCTTTTGAGTCTCTGGCTCCTTTGTTTCTTTGTCTATTTCTGACACACACACACACACACTTAATTATCAGTAAATTAAATACATTTTCTGTGAATGGAGAACACATTTTACATGACATAAAATGCTTATGGGGAAATGGAAGAAAACACCCAGAGTAATGCAGGGCTTTTAAAAAGCAGCTTCAGGCCAGATCTCCTGGTGCCAGAGGAAGTAGATCAAGCAGCCTCTAATCACCCTCATTTATAGCCTTTTCACAAAACCCAGGGTATCATATTTTTTTAAAGAATGAACCACGCTGCACTCTGAAAAGAGCTTATTGTTTCTGTGAATAACATAATTAAAATGAAGATTCACATCAATGACTTAATCTGGGCCATTGCTTTATCAAGAAGTTCGGCAAGGATCTATTCAGAAGGCGTGTGGAGAGGAGAATAAAAAGTAAAAGTACCGCTTGGCTCTGGAGCTGGAGGTTACAGAGTCGTGGAAGATGGTTGCTGCATCCTAGCTGGATGAAATACTTCTACTTTGAAACACCAAGGCCAGGTGGACAGAAGCGAAACTGGACGGGGAAAAGAAAAGCAACATCAGAGACAAGCAATGGAGCGTCTCTGCGCCATTTCCATTAGGCTCCGCCTCCACACCTGTGTGGCCCCAGAGGAGAGCTTGCAGGCGCTCAGCACCTGTGACGTAACAGAACAGCAAAGCGAGTGGAAATTCAGCCCCTGTTCTACATAGGACTCTGCTGTAAAACCTTTGTTTCCTTTAGTCTTTGCGTCTTCCAGCTAAGTAGTATGGATGCCATCTTTCAGACAAGGAAGCTAGGACCTGAGGACATTATAGGGCACTCCAATGTCACAAAGTGTTTAAGGAACAGAAGTGAGATGTAACATGTTGGGTCTGATCTCAAAGGCTCCTGTTTTGACATCATTTTCTGTGCATTAGAGGGATGGCTTAGCTGAAGGAGGAAACTGCACTTGATACGAGGCCAAGAGGAGTCTGAGAGCTTGATTCTAGAAGATCTGCTTTCCTAACATAAACACCTTTACTAAGACTAAAAATAGAGCTATCTGACAATGGATTTGTGTGTGTGTGTGTGTGTGTGTGTTTACGTGTTTAACCCCAGAGCTTTCAGGGATTCTACTGGTTGTATTGTTTGTGCAAATTTTCAGCATGATCTTCATATCTCGGGGGAAATATCCTTTGTTCTGACAAGCCCTTATTTGATCTCACACCACCATCTCTGTTGAGTACCTGGTGTTTGGCGTGTTTTGCTCCATCACCTCCTGTGGAAGAGAGGGGAAAGGACAGTGAGAAGTGGTACCCAACAAATCAAACTCACCACCAACTTTTATCATCATCCCAGAGGAGGTTCTATTTCATGCACAAATTGCTTGGTGCATAATTTATGGAGTCACCCAATGAAAACCACAAACTCTCAAAAACAAAATAATCACTTCTATTCACCCATTGAGTTTATCTTCCAATTCTAATTAATATCTGGAGAATTTAAGGGAGTTTTAGCCCAAGTCACTAGAATGTTAGTTTTTCACTACTTTTTTTCTGCACTTTCGGGAGGGAGACCATTCTCCATGGGTCTCTCATGGTTCTGTGTCTTATGACAGAGGTACTAACTGCCCTCTTATCGTGAACTACCTTTTCGTGTTTGTATAGAAAACAGCCTTGAATAAAAATAGTGTCTTTTTTCCAAAGCAAAGAACAGGTATACTTACTACAGAGGAAAAAAAAAAAATCTCTGTAGAGCAAAGGACAAGTATACCTATTGCCGATTATAAAAGGTTCGGTCTCCTTTTCTTTAATGCAAACCACTCTGTGTGCAGCCATGCATTTGGGCCCATTCCTGTCCCTTCTGTGTGACTTGCTACGAGGTGGGGGGGATGTAATTATGCTGATGCTCGTGCTGCCTGCTGTGCCGTAAGTAAGGGAGTCCTTTGCCTGTGACCCAGAAATCTTGTTTCTTCTGCCAGCATCCATGAACTGTTGATAAGTTATGGCAGCCCAACCTGTGAGGTTTTTTAAATGAGCTTAAAAAATATATAACTGCTAGAAGCAGAAGTTTTAAAGATTTAGATTGCCTTCTGTTGTCATTATTGCATTTGAAATGGGCTCTGTGCAAATGTGAAAGGTCAGTTTATTGAAAGTGGAAACAAGGAGAACTACACAAATACAGAAAACATCGAAGTCCCAGGGAGCATCTGAGTGGCAATGTAAATAAATTAACGAAATTCTTTAGGGCTAACCCCTTATCTAAAACTCAGTTTTATCTAATATATGGTAGGCATATTATTGATGTTTGTTAAACTGAATTAAATAAAAGCCATTCTGCTTAACTCAGTGCACACATGATACCCATGGCCAGCATCTAGTTAAACATTTACAAAATTTGTCAACTTGATTGATGGAAAAAACTAGTTTCTAGATATGGAGAGACAGTGGAGAAAAAAAAAAAAACAGTATTGTAGAAAGACTGTGAAAGCTGGGAAAGTACAATTCTGAGGAAGGGCTTCCAGCATAAATATGATTTAGCCATAGAATAATCAATTTTCCCAAAGAACATGAAATTTCTCTGAACCATTCTTATCACTTAACAGCAGGAGGAAGGGGATGGTGCTGTAAATAAACTGTCCATGTACATGTGGTTATACCTGCATGTCCCTTATATTTGCAGAACTAGACTCAGCCATGTTATCTAGGTCTGTGGTGTGACTGATAAGCTAACGCTCAGGCAGCTGGGCTTGCCAAACCTTTAGTTTATGGCTGCAGGTCCTCTTTGTAGAGCCTCATTTTTATTTGTAAATGTGCACACCTTTGCTAGGAGTCTGAGTGCCTATACCCAGAAAAGGTTCCTTCCAGCTCCATTCCCAGCACCCAGTTGGTGCACCCCAAATTGGTCTCACTCTTCATGCTATTAAGGCCATCTATATACCTTAGAATTTATAGCAAGGGATTGATCTGATTTCAGTGGCTGTTTTATTATTATTATTATTATTTTGAGAGGGAGGGTGGGGAGGGGCAGAGGGAGAGGGAGAGAGAGAATCTTAAGCAGGCTCCGTGCCTAGTGTGGATCCCAATGTGGGGCTCGATCCTGTGATCATGACCTGAGCTGGAATCAAGGGTCAGACTCTTAACCAACTGAGCCACACAGATACCCCTATTATTTTTTATTGTCCTTTATGCTAATGGATTTATTATTTTCTTCATTAAATTTTATGCTTATTAACTTTCTGTATTCCAGGTCTCTGCTTTATTTTTAAAACTTTATCTTTTATAAAAATATAATTTTTTACATTCACATGTATATGTACATATATATAACATGTTGTGTACAGATGTGTGCAGTAAAAATGCCTGTGTACTCATCAAGCAGATAGAGAAATAAAATTCTGGAAGCCTCCTTTACACTTCCTTCCAGTAAGTACCCCTCCCTCCTTTCAAAGGCAGTTAATATCGTGACTTCTAACATCAGAGAGGAGTTGGTCTTTTTTGAACATGATGTAAATGGAATCAGACAGTATGTGTCTTTTTATGTCTGGCCTCTGAATTAGAGTGATATTTGTGAGACGTATCTATATTTTCACATATAACCACTTTGCTAGTACACGCATACACACACCCCACACCATGCTTTAGATGGTCTACTGTTGATAGACTGTTGGGTTATTCCCAGTATTTGGCTGTTATGAATTATACTGCAAGAGTAACTTTTACACGTCTTTTGGAGCATTTGTGTATACCACTCTGTTGGGCATATAACTAGGAGTGGAACTGGTAGGTAGGGTACATATATGTGATGTTAATTTTACGTGTCAATCTGACTGACCGGGGGGTGCCCATATTCCATATTATTTCTGGGTGTGTCTGTAAGGGTGTGGAAGAGATTAGCGTTTGAATCAGTGGACTCAGTAAAGCAGATTGCTGTCCCCAGTGTGGGTGGGCATAATTCCATACCTTGAGGGACTGAATAGAACAAAAAGGGATGGAAAGAGGAATTTGCCTGGCTTTCCTACCTGCCGGTTTGAGTTGGGTCATCTCCTTTCATCTTCCCTGGCCCTCAAACTGGGATTTTTTTTTTTTAAGATTTATTTATTTATTTATTTATTTTTAGAGAAGGGGGATGGGAAAGGAGACTAAGAGGAGGGGCAGAGGGAGGGAAACTTTCAAGCAGACTCCCTCCCAATGCAGGGCTCCATCTCACAACCCTGAGATCATGACCTGAGCTGAAACCAAGAGTCGGATGCTCAACCGACTGAGTCACCCAGGCGCCCCCAAATTGGGATTTAAACCATCAGCCTAGCCTCCCTGGTACTCAGGCCTACGTATAAATTTGGACAGAATTACAACCTTGGCTTTCCTGGGTTTCCAGTTTGCAGAAGGTGGACTTCTCAGCTTCCATAATCACATGAGCCAATTCCTTATAATAAATCTCTCCTTCTCTTTCACATACACACACACACACACACACACACACACACACACACACCTCTTTGTTTGGTCAAGTTGTCTAACCTCTGCTATTTCCAGTAATATTTAATTAAATAATGGAAAATTATAGAGATACCTTGAGGTCTAGAAGATTTTAACTTTCTCCAGTAAGAATTTATTTCTCCTTCTGGAAGGCAAGTGTATATTACTTTATGCATTTAGCATTTGAGCTGATTTTTTTTTTTAAGATTTTATTTATTTATTTGACAGAGAGAGATACAGTGAGAGAGGGAACACAAGCATGGCGAGTGGGAGAGGGAGAAGCAGGCTTTCCCACTGAGCAGGGAGCCCGATGTGGGGCTCGATCTCAGGACCCCGGGATCATGACCTGAGCCAAAAGCAGATGCCCAACAACTGAGCCACCCAGGTGCCCCAACATTTGAGCTGATTTGAAGCTCTTTGTGAGGTCTGGCTTGTTTTTACTTCATTACTACTCCAAGAGTATAGATTTTCTGGAGTCCCAGCTAAAAACCTTGGTTGTTTAGCATAGTCCTTCTTTCTGGGGCTGCCAGAGTTCATAATAGCAAACGAAACAATAAATAAACAAAACAAAAAGACTGCCCAATTAATTTTGAATTTTGAATATTATATGAGACATACTTATACTTAAAAAAAATTGTTTTTATCTGAAATTTGAAGCTGGCTGGCATCTTGTATTTTATCGACCAAACTTACTTCCCCCTTAGTGGGTCTGCTCTTGGATTTCCTGTTAGCCTACCCATGAGACTTTTGAAGGTTCTGATCAGTTTTTCTTCCACCAATTTCTATTTAGCTTCTGAACCATGTGTTGGAAATAGCAGCTACCTCGAGGAGAAATGTGGTGCTGAATACCAGGCTCACCCCTGAGCTTCACTTTGTTCTTCATCTAGATCTCTTAAGTCCTCACATAATCATAACTGTCTGATGTCTTCCCTATAAATATCGTATTTTAGATACCAGCAATTGGAACAGAACTCCTAGGTTGTCCAAGATTCAAATTTTAAATCTACTTATTAAAATTACTATTTCTGGGGTGACTGGGTGGCTCAGTCTGTTAAGTGTCTGACTTTGACTCAGGTCATGATCTCGGAGTCCTGGGATTGAGGCCCATGATGGGCTCCACACTCAGTGTGGAGTCTGCTTCTCCCTCTCCCTCTTCCTCTTCTCTCCCCTCCACCTCCCTGCTCCTGCTCTCTCCCACATAAATAAATAAAATCTTTTTCAAAATGTTACTATTTCTGATTTATGAGTATTATTAATAATAGCAATAATAATAATGGCAGATAGATAGCATATTAAGCACAAAATGTCAATATTTTAAGTATTTTACATGAATTGACTAATTCTCACAAACCTGTTTGAGGTAGTTACTATCATTATGTTCATTTGTCAGACAAAGTTTTTTAAAAGCCTGGTGTCTGTTAGGGACTGAGGAGCACAGCCACAGAGAATTTAGAAAACATTTAGTGCTCTCTGTTGGAGCTTGGAACAGTGCCTCATATTAAATACCCCATAAATAAGAAATAATGATCACTGGACAGTTTGCCACTCCCATGGCACAAATCACATTAGCTAATTGCATTTAATTGGCCTTGGAAATGCCCACCTCATTTAGGATGCTGGTCTTTCAACATTATTATGCTTTTGTTGTGTGTTTCCTCAGACAATTTTGGAACCGTGTTTTTCAAGCCCTGTTTTAGCAACAGTAACCCAGTACCCCAAACACATCACTGGTATCTATTCTGGTTGAAGAAAGTTAGAGTGACACAAGGTACTCAGTTATCTTTCTTTCTCTCCATTGTGA